AGAAAGATCTTTCAGATATTATGAGGAACTATCCTCTCGATATACCATCTTATAAGTACTATGCGACCTCAATGAAGAGACATGGCTTACTTTGTAAGAGATATGGATTATGAGCTACATTTGCCTGAAGATTGGAATAGGGTTGATTTTAGAGGATACTGTGAGTGTGAGGATATTATAACCTTATGGAACCATAGATGATAGGAGTTGGAGCCAGAGTCTGAATCAGAACCAGAACTAGAAGAGGAACTCGAATCAGGCCTGAGGAGGACCCCGACCATAAATTCAAGCCACAAGACTTCATTGATTTCTTTACGAATTTTGAGCCCGAATCATTCATTACTTCAGATGATAAGACTCCATCAAATAATATTTGTAGGCCTTATAGAGATTAGAAATGGATGTTATTTCCTTTGTTAGAATTTCTACTTTTTTCCTTTAAAAAAATATTATAATAATGATAATGATAATGATAATGATAATAATAATAATAATACTTTATGCTACATGTAAAGATTTGGGGATTTTAAATTTTCACTATTAAGAATTTATATTATTGAGATTGTCATGTTGCCTATTATTTTCTAAGACAAAATTTTATTTTGTGTGAAGAAAATGGCATGACAACAACAAAACCAAACTACAGTCATCAAGGATTTGTTGAGGTCTATATAGGATCTGGGTAGACAACAAGCACACGCTTGTACTCAGAATGCATGGACGAATGCTCACAACACCAGTTCAATTGTTGAACAGTTCCGCCGTTACAAGTTCCCAACCTTCGATGGCAAAGTGGATTCAGTGGCGTTGAAGAATGGATAAGAGGGATGGAATGAATCTTCAAACAACTCTCATGCACTGATGCCCAGAAAGTATTATGTGCAGATTTTATGTTGGTTGATACAGTGGGCCATTGATTGGAGTTTGCCTCAAGCACTAGAACTGAGGCATAGTAATGTGCTCTGACTTAGACACGATTCAAAGAAGAAATGAAGAGAAAATACTTTCCACAAGCCCTGAGAGATCAAAAGGAGACAAAGTTTCTACAACTTAAACAAGGAAAGATGAATCTTGAGGAATATAAGAGAATGTTTGAACAGCTATCTAGATATGCTCCAAATCTAGTAGATACTAAGGTAAAGAAAGCAAGGAGGTTCAAACTAGGATTGCGTCTGAAGATTGGTTGAATAATGGTCTCCTATCAATTCACCACATATAGTTAGTTTTTACAAATTGCTCGAGAAATGTCAAATAGATTAGAGATTGACCTAAATGTTCAAGAAGGTGCTGAGTCATTGGAAAAGCGAAAATGGAATGGTTGCAACAAAGAGAAAGAAAATGAAGAAAATAGGAGAATTAATATTGGATCGAGTTCAAGAAAATTGTTTCGTCCTATCAAAAAAAGTGCAACAAGGCACATGGGAGTGAAAGCCCAAGAATGAGTAACCAAGAGAGGTGAATTGGTTTTTAAAATTTTTTCGAAAATTAATTCTAGATTTAAACTAAAGTGATAGCAAATAAGACAATTAAAGAAATATGCACAATTACGAAAGCAAGTAAAGACTAAAAAGATAAATTCAAATAATAAGGGCAATATAAAAGCAATAAGTAAAAGGAAGAGATGATGCAAACGATATAATTGTGGAGATTCAATTCAAAGTAATGATCTACATCCTCCATTACTAAGCTCTCTGACATGAGCAAGGTCTTTTCATTGTGTTAACTGACTTATGGTACAATCCAACCCTTTATAACGCTTCTGATGGCTACAAACAAGGAGCAATAATCCTTATACAATGTTGAGCTTTATTGGACCTTAACATGACCCACACTATTAAGCCTTACGGGACCTCAATATGACCCATGCTATTAAGCTTTATGGGACCTCAACATAACCCACATGATGACTTACAACAAGGAGCACCGATCCTTATACAATATTGATCTTTGTGAGACTTCAACACGACCCACACTTTATCAAAGTAATTTTAAAATGAAAACTTCCCTTGATAAATAATACAAAACAACTTAAGTATTAAGAGAGGTTAACACTTGAATGAATAGTAATAAATGATAACTCAAGTGTTAAATGAAAAACTTTGATGAATATGATAATTAAAAATTAGATTTAATCAATCAAAATGTTTCAATGAGAAGATGAAGAAGAAATTAATATAATGTAAGTTCAAAAAATATTCTCAAGAAATATATCTCTTTTAATGAATGATTGTAATAAATTAAATACTAAAAGAGAAATGAGAAACTTTGATGAATATGATAATTTTACAAATTTGATTAAAATAATCAATGTTTTCAATATGAAGATGTATAAAGATTTATGCAATATAAGTACAAAGATCTTCTTCAAAAATATGTCTTTCTTTTAAGATTGATATAAATAAGTTGAGCACAAAAAAATATGAAAAACTTTGATGAGAGAAATGATTCAAGAAGTTTGATTCAATAATCAAAGTTTTTCTTATAATGAAATGAATGAAAAATGTAAGCTCAAGGAATTCTCTCAAAATATATATATCTATATTGTTTTATGCTCTTGAATCTCTTGTAAAAAATGGAAAGAGTAGGGATATTTATAGAGTTTAAAACGTCAAAAAAATCTGTAATTGCGAATGACTCATCCGGTCGACCGCCTCTTGTCCTGATGATCAATATAATCGTTTGTATAGTAAAAACCAAAGTTCAAAACAGTCAAATTTTGGACCGTTGTAATTTTTCAATCGACGTCCACCTTGGGCCGGTTGATCGTCCTCCTAGCATGTCGACCGTCGACAGCTTTCAACATTTTCGTGTTTTGGCCCCCGTTTGACCTTATTTGAAGGTTTTAAAAGGCATGGACTTTCAGAAAGTATTTTTAACTAATTTTTCAAGATAAAAATATATTTTTCAAGTCAAAATATACTTTAAAAGTCATTTTTATATTTGATCAAAACGTTGCATTCGAATGACCTTTAATACACAAAAATTGTTTTTAACGCATAGAAGGATTTTGATCTTATACATTCATTGCCAAATATCAAAGTGTTAGTATCTTTACATTTTGTCTAAGAGATCAAGTTTTTGATCTTCTTCCGAAGTTTGGCTCTTAAATTCTTCGATCTTGACCTCCTCCTTTGATGTCGTCTCTCATGCTCTTGATCTTGATCTTTCTTGGTATTTATCTTTATGCTTTGCTTCCACTTTAATCTTCATTTCAAATCCGATATATAATGCTTGATTGATTTTAACATTGAACTATCATCACTAAAAATAAATTGTCAGAAGTAATATTATTCTTATTTGTTATGGTCAAAATATTGAGGATGAAGTCAATCATAGGTCAACAAGGAGAATATCTGTTTGGGAGTAACGAGCACTATCGATGAGGTAAGGCAGGTCACATTATTAAAAATTGCAAAGAATTCCCCCCAAAGGAAGATAATTAGCAAGGAAAGAAAGAGAAGGCAAGAGTTTTTGCTTTAATTCAGGATGAGGCAACAGAGGACCCAGACATGATTGCAGGTATTTTTATGATATCTGGAGTTCTTGCTTATGATCTTATAGATTGTGGAGCTACTGATTCATTTTATTTCTGCTACATTTATTAATAAGTCATGTATAGTATGTGAGGAATCCGATAATGTTTTACAAGTAACGATCCCATCGGGCAAACTTTGAATACTAGTAAGATAGCTAAAGCCATCAAGTTAAATATAGATGGGAAAGAGTTTAAGATTGACTTCTACATATTACATATAAAAATTTTGAAGCTATTTTGAATATGGATTGGTTGGGGAGTAATCATACAATATCAAGAAAAAAAGTGTTTTTCAAAAACTAGATAAGAGGAATTTCATTTCCTCGTAGCAAAGGTTAAGTCGTACCACGCATCATATCAGCCTTGCAAGCAGAAAAGACGTTGAGGAAGTAATCTAATAATGGATTTCTAATACATATCACTGTTACTTAAAAAGTTAAAATGACTGCTAATGATGTAAACATTGTAAGGGATTTTTTGATTTTTTCCAGATGATCTACCTGGTACCTCACTAGACAAACAAGTGGAATTTTCCATAGACCTTATACTTGGAGCATCACCAATATCCAAAACTCCTTATAGGATGGCCCCAAAAGAGCTGCAAAAGTTAAAATTGCAACTACAATAATTGTTAGCTAAGAATTTTATCCAGCTGAGTGGATCTCCTTAAGATGCACCAATCTTTTTCATTAAAAAGAGGGACCAGTCAATGAGGATGTGCATTGACTATAGGGAGTTAAAAGTTTTTCTATCTTTAAAATTAGTTATTTAGCTCTAATTATGTTCAAAGACATGTTTATTTAATAGTGATTAATTATATTTGTTTCGAATAGACACAATTCTCATGTTCCGGGTTACTTTATTGATACTATTTATGTTTTTAAAATAAAGGATTAAATTCTTATCGTTTTCGTATTTAAAATAAAGAATAAATTTTTTTTAGTAACACTCTAGGGTTTATAAAAAATTGAGGTGTTGCATACAAAATCAATTAAATCATTTATCATTATGTGAATTTCTATAAAACAAGGTAAAGTGAAACTCTCTGTATTATTCAGTTTAGGAGGGAGCTTGTGTGTTAGGATTGCGCTACACTTTTTAGTCAATGCTATTGTTTTATCTACTGACAGCTTTCTCTTCTTTATCAACGTCTATCTCAAAAACTTAGTATAATTAGAAATTTGTAGAATGACATTAATGAAAGGAATGTTGATGTGAAGTTGTTTGAGTGCATCCAAAAACTTCTTGAATTGCTTTTTAATCTTGTTATGCAATCTTTAAGAAAATGGGATTGGAGGCGTGTGTTTATTAACAAGAACGACTATCTTAACCTATGGACTGTTTGCACTTCCTGATTAACCTTTGCTAATTCTAAAGGTTGACCCACTTGTTAGGTATCTGATTCTTTTAAATCCCTTTCTTCTTCACAGTGATATTTGGCAACTGAACTCCACTTCTTATAGTAATGGCCTGGACCTGTTGGTCTTTGGCTACGCTCGATGTCTTTAAGGGAACGAAAAATGCGCACGTATACTTGGACAAGGCTAGAGACTTACTTAATTATGTCCCAACTACTGTATAATTTACAGCTTCAACTACTAATACATGTTCCTGTAGGTTCTTTTCTGCGTTGCTTAGTAGGGTACCTTGTGTACTGAGCTACTAATTCTTCCAATGATGACTTGTTCTCTTGTTGTTGCTGATATCCTAGTGAGTTGCCCTAAATCTAATTTCTTCTGCTCTGATTATTAGCCCATGAGAAGTTTGGATGATTCCTCAAACCTAGATTATCATGCTGGAGTAAGAGTTGTTCTGTTGCCTTTGAAAATGTTAAGCATAACTAACCTCCTCATGCTGCAACATGTGTGTCTTAAAGGATAGCTAGTTGTTATGTGATCTGTCCCACGGCCCCAGCAGACTGGTACTGGTTGGTAAACTATGTTTACATTCTGAGTGAGTTTGTCTAACTTCTTTGTTAGTACTTCCAGTTTGAATGCCATTATTGTAACTGTATCTATATTGTGAAATAACCTCTTTTTTCCTCAGATTTTCCCTTACAATTGGCCACATAGATTGATTTTCTACAGTTCTATCAAAAAAACTAAGGCGTTGTATATAGGTAAAGTCATATTTGATCAGCCTATTGAAGAGTCTACTGTGTTACAGTATTCAAGATGTAGGTCTAAATAAAAGATGTAGACCTGGGCGTTTTTAAGTATATCTAGATTTGTACATTTTCTGAAATAGTCCTTCAATCTGTCCCATGCCTCTTGATAGCTCTCGGGGTCCTTCTACTCAAAAGTATGAAGTTCGTTCTGTATCATGTAATTCCACAAAGTGATGCTCCCTAGACGTAAAGAGTGTAGCCATTCTCGTGCACATTCCTCTAAAGTATGAGGGAATGAGCGCACTTGAAATTTGTCTGTTGACATATCTTCATAACTGATTATTTAGCAAAGCATTAAGAAGGTATGTACTTGGTCATGTGAATTTTCAGTTGGTCTTCTAGATATCCTAATGATTTTGAAATAAGTTAATGATATCTGGTCAAATGTGGAGTTGGTCTATCCAAAAGACGGATAAAGAATAGTCAGTCATACATAGGATCTGAAGCGGGATTCACATAATTCCGTACTAATACGTCACCGTCATTCACATTTGCTCTTGGCGGAGCTAGCTGTGCTGGCGGATCTGGTGGAAACTAAACTTGATTTTAATTTTTTGCTACTTATCTTGCTTCTCTCTATTATCTTCTACGTTGTTCAAAGGTCCTTACGATTTCGGAATCTAATGGTAGGAGCTTGATTTTTTTCAGAATCTTGCATAAACTATCAAAAAATAAACAAGAGAGATTAGATGTGTAATTAATAGCCTAAAATAAAATTTGTGCAAATCTCAAAGCATACATGATCGTCGACAAATAATAATTTTAGTGAGTTGAGAGTACGTTCCATAGGGAATAAATTCTAATTTTAGTGTATAATATCTTTGGTACCTTCATCTGTCTTCATCTTCTGATGTTTTCCTAATAATCATCAAAACACAATAGACCCATCTTGAATTAAATCCTACACATAGTCATCAACTTATTTCAGCCATGCTCTTGTCTCCATTCCGTTCTTCTTCCTCGTCCTACTGGTGTTTCTTGGATTTGCTGTTAACTGTAATACTGGTGTATCTTTCTTGTTCTGTATATATCTGCCATGGCTCATGTAATGAACAAGATCGGAACGCTTTATCATCATTCAATCTGAGTATTAGTACTCCATCTCCTTTGTATTGGTCTCTTTCTTTTGATTGCTGCAGCTGGGAAGGAGTTGGATGTGATGAGAGTGGCAGGGTGAACAGTCTATTTCTACCATCGAAGGGGCTAGTTGGAACCATAGCTCCTTTTATTGTAAACCTCACCAGTCTCACTCAACTCGTCACGGAATCAGCTCTCTGGTCCTATCCCGGATGGATTTTTTACGGCCTTGAACCGCCTGGTATTCATTGATATAAGCCATAATCGTCTCACCGGACAGTTATCAGATTCTGATAAGCTGATGAGTACTGTCACGACAGTGGATTTATCCAGCAACTGCTTTTATGGGAGAATCCAATCTTCATTTCTCCAGCCAGCATTGAATTTGCAAAGATTTGATGTCAGTAATAACGGCTTCTCCGGTTCAATCCCTTCATCTATCTGCAGATTTTCACCTTCAATTGTGCATCTTGATTTCTCCAATAATGACTTTGTAGGCCAATTTCACACGGTTTTGGCCAGTGTCACAATCTATTGAGACTACGTGCTGGTTTCAATAACCTTTCGGGTGCCATTCCCAGTGATATTTACATAATTTCATCACTGCAAGAACTGTACTAGCCTGCCAATAAGCTCTCTGGAGTGATAGATGGAAGCATTGTTAACCTCATTAACCTTTCTCTCTAGGGTACTGAATTGACAGGAATGATTCCTCAAGATATTGGGAGGCTCTCCAACTTGGAACAGTTGTGGCTTCACATAAATTAACTAAATGGAACTCTGCCCTGATCTCTTACGAATTTTACGAGACTTGCAAAGCTGAATTTTAGGGTCAACCTCCTTGAAGGTGAACTTTCTGCTTTTAATTTCTCCAAATTCATTCAGCTTAGATCCATCGACCTTGGGAATAATTTCTTCAGAGGTAGATTGCCATCGAGCATTTTTTTATGCAAGAATTTGACTGCAATTCGCTTGACTTCTAATAGTTTAAATGGAGAGGTTTTGCCTGACATAATGGCATTACAATCTCTATCCTTCTTATCCCTTACTAATAATAGCCTAAACAATATCACCAGTGCTGTGCGCATCCTAACAGTGTGCAAGAACCTCAGAACTTTAATCCTCTCAAAAAACATTTACAATGAACCACTGCCTGGAGATGAAAACTTGATAAGAGCTGGCGAGTTCCAAAATCTTCAAGTCCTGGGTTTAGGTGGCTGTGGATTCACGGGGTCTAATTCCAATTTGGCTGTCTAGACTAGATAAGCTGGAGGTTCTAGACTTATCGCTTAACAACATCATAGGCTCCGTCCCACGATAGTTTGGGGATCTTCCAAACCTCTTCTACTTGGATTTGTCCCGAAACCTTCTATCAGGAAACTTCTCCATGGAACTTATAAAACTGAGAAGACTAGCAACACAACAGACTTCAGATCAAGTAGACCAAAGTTATTTAGAATTGCCTGTCTTTGTTCAGCCCAATAATGCCTCCAATCTGCAATACAAACCGGCTCTCCAACCTGCCACCAGCAATATATATCAGGATATACATTGAGATTGGCCAATTGAAGTTTGTTGTTGCCCTGGATCTCCGCGAAAAAAATTTCTTTGGCAGCATTCCGGACACAATATCTAATCTCACTAACTTGGAGAAACCGAACCCATCTAGCAACAATCTTTCGGGCCAAATTCATGCATCGCTCAAAAATCTTCACTTTCTGTCCTTTCTAATGTTGCCGACAACAATCTTGAAGGTCCTATACCAGTAGGAGGTCAGTTTGACACGTTTCCCAATTCAAGCTTTGAAGCAAATCCACGTTTGTGTGGTAAAATTTTGCAGTTATATAAGCCAACAGTGAAATGAAAAACAGATCTAAGTGATATACTGTGAGAATATGGTTCTCTTAACTCCATTAGACTTAAGTGCTATTTGTGTAATTCACATGGATTGTGCTTGTCTAGTTTTATTATGGACCATTGGATGGGATCGACGGCCAGGATTTAATCTATTTGAGATAATTTTTGTTGCCTTGTCTTGGGGAAGATGTTTTGACTTGATGGCTACCACAAAAAGGGGCTTTCCCCACGTTTTTGGCAGATAGGTCTTTTCTCTCTTCTCAAGTTGACCACTCTCTCCATTTTGCACCTTCTGCTTGGTAGAAGGTTGAGGGTGCGTTGGTGGCGATTTCTAGCGAGGTTCTTTGCCGGTTTCTCTCTCTCTCTTTGGAAGGTGATTTGCATGACATGGGAGCTGTTCCTGAGCTTATAAATCAATCATAAGGAAGAGGAGAAGTGGCTGTCCACTTTCGGCCGAAATCGGGTTGTATTGTTCCATTTTATATTCCTTGATTTTGCCTTGGAATCCTTTATTGATTGATGTTTATTGTTTGATTGAACTCCAAGGATCCCAACAAACTGGTATCAGAGCAAGGAGGAGTGAAATCTATCCAAAAATCGATCGAAACCTCCAAGGAAATCGCGATTCCCATTTTTTGGCCGAATCTGAAACTTCAAATTCCGGCCAAACTACTGACTTTTTGGTGAAACTGACCCTGGACCCATAACCAGTAGACGAAGGCGCTTCCTGTGGTGGGGCGCATGACCGGAGCGGCGACCAGCGACCGGCGGCCCGTGAACTCCGGCGACGGCGCGTGGCTGGACATTCCGACAAGCTTTTTTCGGGCAGTTTACTTATTTCGATGTCCTGAATGCACTGATGTCATTTGTTTTCTGTTTCAGGTCTTACAGAAAAAGTTGGATGATTTTGCCCCTGGCTTGACGTCTACAGCAATTAGGTTCAGAAACTTGGTGGTATATTTACTGTTTTTCAACAGTAGTTTGGTAAGATTATTCCAAACTCTCCGTTAGGTTAGGTTTGGTATCCTTACCAGTTTATGCATGATTATTGCTTGGTTGCCTATTTGTGAATTCCGTTGATTGAATTCTTGTGATTAATTTGTAACCTGGAAGCATATTTACTTGCATTATATACCTGTGTTTCGTGAACGGATTATGTCATTGTTGTGCTTCATTTCTAAAATTGTTTTTAACTCGGCATTCATATTATTTATATTGATTATCTAGAAAAGAATTTTTCAAAACATTTTCTGTTTTGTCCACGAGTATAGGCCATTCTTTTACAGAATCTGTAATGGGTTCGAGGGTCGAATTATCGCAATTCGATGGAAAGGGGGATTACTCGATATGAAAACAGAAAATGAGGGCCATTTTGGGTCCAACAGAGAGTTGCTAAAGCTCTCGATAATCCCGCTACATTTTCTGATGAGTTAAAAGCTAAACCAACTGAAATTGAAGACATGAATGAAATTGCTTACAGTTCTATAATTTTGCATCTATCTGACAACATTGTGAGACAAGTTGATAGTGCTAAAACTGCTAGAACTTTATGGACTACTTTAGATGCCTTGTTCTTAACTAAAACTTTACCTAACAAAATATACATGGTGGAAAAGTTGTTTAGTTTTAAGATGGACCCAGGGAAGGATGTCGAGGGGAATTTGAGTGACTTTAGCATAATTGTTAAGAGTCTAGCTCATAATGATAAAACATTTGACGATAAGGATTTAGCTATCATATTGCTAAACTCTTTACCTGAATCTTACAGAGAAATGAAAAATGCCATAAAATATGGTAGGGACACTCTCACTCAAGCTATTGTTTCCGATGCTTTAAAATCAAGAGAACTTGAATTAAAAAGAGAGAACAGAACTCATTGCCGATAAGAGAGCCTATTTGTTAGGGGAAGACCTGAAAAGAAAGAATTTAACTTCCATAACAAGAAGGGGAGAGCAAAATTTAAAATGAGATCTAAATCTAAAGATAAAAGCGGTAAGAAATGTTATCACTGTGGAAAATTAGGACATTTCAAGAAAGACTGCTTCGACTGGAAAAGGAAACAAAAAGACCCGAACAATTCTGATGTTGATAATGCTGCTATTGTTTCTGAATTTGATAGTTTGCATGTCATGAATGTGTCTAAGGAAGAATTTGACAAAAATTGGATTCTAGACACAGGGTGCACTTTCCATATGTGCCCTGATAGGTCTTGGTTCTATAACTATAGAGAGACTGAACCTAGGAAGGTCTACATGGGAGACAATAATTCTCAAAATGTGGTTGGAGTTGGTGACATAGCCATCAGAATATATTATGGGGCCGTCACGCAACTCAGAAATGTTAGATATGTCCCAAATATAAAGAGGAACCTCATTTCCTTAGGTTCTCTTAAAGATGAGGGATATACCTTCAAGTCTGGTAACAAGATTTTGAAAATTATGAAGGGTTCTCTCATAGTTATGAAAGGGCCTAAGAGGAATGGACTGTACTATCTTGAGGGTAGAACTGAAATACCAGTTGATTCTAGCCTTCTTACTGTGAGTAAAGACAAAACTGAACTTTGGCATAACAGAATGGGTCACATTAGGTTTAAAGGGCTAAAATCTTTAAGTAATTAGAAATTACTTGGAAAAGATGACATCGAAACTATGGAATTTTGTGAAACTTGTGTCTTAGGTAAGTCCCATAAGGTGAGCTTTGAAGCTAGCTCTCATAGGACCAGCAGACCATTGGACTATGTCCATGCTGATCTATGTTGCCCGGAGAAGCACTCCACATCTGGTGGAAGCAAGTACTTCTTGTCCTTAGTGGATGATTACTCAAAAAAAGTTTGGATTTATCCTTTGAAGGCTAAATCGAAAACTTTTGGGAAATTCAGGGTTTGGTTAAAGTCTATTGAGAATCAGTTAGATAAGAAACTTAAAACTTTAAGAACTGATAATGGGCTTGAATTCTATAATATCGAATTTGACAACTTCTGTAAGCAGAAAGGTATAACAAGACACAGAACTGTTAAATACATACCTGAACAAAATGGGGTCGCTGAAAGAATGAACAGGACCATAATGAACAAAGTTAGGTGTATGTTGATTAGCTCTGGCCTTCCGAAAGGTTTTTGGGCTGAAGCTGCAAGTTCTATAGCTTATCTGATTAATAGGTCTCCGTCCAGCAGTATAGGGTTTAAGACCCCACAGGAGTTGTGGACGGGAAAGCCTCCAAATCTAGAACACTTGAGGGTGTTTGGATGTGCTGCATATGAACACCAATCTGAAGGAAAACTTGAGCCGAGGGCTATCAAGAGTGTGATGTTAGGGTATCCCGAGGGTGTAAAGGGCTATAGGTTATGGGTTTTAGGGGTCCAAGGCATTAAGATTATTAACAGCAGGAATGTAGTCTTTAATGAATCTGGGATGCCATGTCTAAAACAGAAAATCGAAGAAACTAACAAATCTGAAACTGAGAAGAGTATTCAGACTGAGGTGAAGCTGACTAGGCTAAATTCACCTACACCTGGGAATGACGAAAATGACCCTATACATCATGAAAATGAAAATGAAATTGAAATTGAAACTGAACCGGAAGAGGTAACTGAACTTCAAGATAACATTGAACCAGTTGAAGTTGAACATTTTAATGATCAGCCACCTAATCAAGATTATTAGCTAATTAGGGATCGGGGGAGGAGGCAGATCAGGCCAAATCCTAGATATGAATCCCTAAACTTAACTGATTTTCCCTTGGTTTCAGGTGAAGCCCTTGAACAGATAGAACCTGCTAGTTATGAAGAAGCTGTTAATGGAAAATGTTCTAAAAATTGGGTAAAAGCTATACAGGAAGAAATGGAATCTTTAATGGAGAATAAAACTTGGAAGTTAGTTAACAAACCTAAGGATCATAAGATAGTTCAATGTAAGTGGATTTACAAATTGAAAGAAGGAAATAATCCTAGTGATCCCCCTAGGTATAAGGCCATATTAGTGGCGAAAGGGTTCACTCAAAAGCAGAAAGTTGATTACAATGAGATATTCTCTCCTGTGATAAAGTACAAAACAATCAGACTGGTTTTTGCATTGGTTGTTAAGTTCAACTGGGAACTGGAACAACTAGATATCAAGACTGCTTTCTTACATGGGAAATTGGAAGAGGATATTTACATGAGTCAGCCTCAAGGTTTTGAGGTGAAAGGTAAAATAAATTGTGTGTGCAAATTAGAAAGATCTCTGTATGGGCTTAAACAAAGCCCTAGACAGTGGTACATAAGGTTCGATACCTATGTACTGAAGATAGGTTTTAAAAGGAGTGAATATGATGCATGCCTGTACTATAATGATAGTAAGGAGGGCTGTGAAGTCTACTTGTTGTTGTATGTAGATGACATGCTTCTAGCAAGTTCAAGTAAG